GCAAGAGGCAAACTAATACTACAAACATTCCCAAAGAATGACAAAATATATAACAGAATGTAGAGCAGTAAACTATGTAATGTCCGAATAATTTAAGATCGATCTTGGTTTCAATTTTGAAGAGTCCTTATTTTAATCCTCTCGGGAGGGTATTTTTTCCATTGCTTTTCAGAGACAGAGTGGAGTGGGGAGTTGGGGAGGAGAAACATCAATGTGAGACACATTGGTTGGTTGCCTCCTGACTGGGACCAGGTCAAACCTGCCGGCCTATGGTGTGTAGGCTGACGCTCCAACCATTCAATACACAGTCTAGGGCTGCAGAGTCCTTTTATCTTACTCTTCCCCTTTATTTTTAAACAGAAGGCTATAAGAACATTCAGTGGGAAGCCCTCCAAAAGGAAACAATTTCGTTTCCTCTAATTGCTAATAAAAATGTATAAATTGATAAAATTTTCTAGGGGTCAAAGTGGCAATAACAAAAGCCTTCAAAAACTGGCATATTCTCTTCACTAGCAATTACACTTCCACATACTCATCTTAAGGAAATATTAAGAACACATAAAAGATTAGTAACACGATGTTCTTTAAAGCAGTTTATTAGTGAAAAATTAGAAACATCCTAGAAATCGACAGTCGTTTAATAAAATGTGGCACATATGATGGAATACCATGCAGCCATTAAAAAAGATGCAGCAATACATTTGACACAGCAGGATGGTCATGATGTTGTCAAGTGAAAAAGTTACAAAACAGTATGAACAAGTTGATCCCACTTAAAAAATATCTACAAAAGCATGGAAGAGTCTGGAAGGCTATACACCTAAGTAACAGTTCTCACGGGATGGTGGTTATTGTAGGTTATTTTTATCTTTTAAGCTATATTTTCACATTTTTTTTTTCCTTTTTACCAACACATTTGACTTTTAGAAAGCATTAACAATTCCTAAACAAGCCTCCTTTGAAGAGGGAAGGAGAGCAGAGTTTAGCAACCTCAGTCAGAGAGGCAAATGTTAGTCCAATACCGCTATAATGGTTTGTTGGGGTGCTATGATGTCTAACTGCCACTGCACTGATGGGAACAGGGTGGCTGGTTTACCCTTCTCAGACTATCCCACTAACTTCTACAGCAACCAAGTACCGGTGTTCCATACTCTCTACTTTCACACCACTGTTTAACATAGCCCAGCAAGACTCCTCTCCACTGAAGACAGCACTGTTGATACAGGTGCAAAAGGCAGAAATTTCTCAAGTGATGTCAGGTAATAGGCTTGAAGGTGACAGGGAAGTTTTCTTTGTTCTACTGAAGTGGTTCTCTACCTTACCAGGACAATCACCATGTGGTTTGTAAAATCAGATTGCTAAGTCCTACCTCAGAGTTTGATTCAGTAGATCTTGGATATGGCTTAGAAACAGTTTTTGTTTTTTCCCCCTATACAACAAATATTGAGTACACATTATGTGCTGGCCTTAAGCTAACAACTGTGATCAAAAGAATTATGGTCTGCATCTCAGAAGCCTGCATTCTGAAGTGATCAATATATACTAAACAAATAAATTATAAAAGTAACTATAATTTTGATTAACACTAGGAGACAATTTTTGTCTTAAAATGTTACATGAAGAACTAAGACTAGTTCTACAGCCCCTTGAAGAAAAAAAAAATCAGTACAAATTAATGTATAAAGTACTTGGAAATACGAATTAACATTTTTGACAAGTACCTAAGTATGCTGCTATTGTCAATCTTGGGGCCTCACACTGAGAACCACTGCCCCACTGAATTTGCTTCCTAATTAGGACAATGTGGGGAAAAGGGCTAGTATGCTTTTACAACCCCTCTTCCCTTTTGAGTCCCAAGAGGTGGAGAAGGGGTTGAAACAGAGCTGGCTGTAGGTCAAACTGCAAAGCCATCTATTTATTATGGCTCCTCACCCAGGCTACAAGTGCTACATAGTATGACAACATATTTCAAAAGTTCAGGCATCTGGGAGGTACAGTAGATTTTTGAGGACTCTTGTCAACAAAGCTGAGCCTAAGTAAACAAAGCTGTGGCTTCTTGTCCGGCACTCCATCACCCTCCCCCCAACTTAATCTCAGAAAATGTCCTCCTAACACCAGCTCCTACATTCACATTCCATTCGCTTGTTCTGGGGGAAAGTAACAGCGGCCTAGGAGGATGGACTCTAACCCACCAGATTCAGGTTTATTTCTCATGCTATCCAGAGTGAAGAACATTCCCAATTCCCTAATCTCCTATAACATGAATTCTTTTAATTAGCACCATAAAAAAAGATTTAACACCATGGACTTTTAGGTTAGATTACTTTGAGGACAAATGTAGAGACAATCCAACCACTTATTTTTGTTTGTAAGAGAGCCTACAATTATCGACACGTTTATTTTTTATTCATGTGTATCCTTCACATGTTACTATATCTACGCTCAGGGGCAGAAAGTTTATTTAAATAATTCTGAATTGCACCGTAAATTAATAGACTTCCCAAGTTTTTCTTCTATGTCTGAAGAACCTTTATGGGCCTTTACCTGAGTAAAAATTAAACCTATGACTTTACAAAATAAGTCAAAACCAAAATAAAACCAACCCCCACGCCCAACAATCAATCACACAAAAACCCATTAAAATAAAAAGTAGTAAACAGAAGAACAAGCCCACATGTTGTAGATTTGTGGTAAACAAAGGCACAAGAAGCCTTTGAACCATAATATCATTGAAGGCTAATGTACATCACTGGGTTACTATAGTCAATACTCATTTAGTGGAAGGCAGAAGGTTCTAATAAAATTTTACACTGACTGTGGTGAGGTTAAACTTAGATCTGACTCTGATTTAAAGAGGGTGGAGGATAGGACAAGAGTAGAACAGATCAGATCATGTATATAAAAGAGGTATCTCTGGTTCATCATAAACGAGGTCTCCAGTCTTGATAGGTCAGGAAGCTACAAGGGCTAAAAAGTGAAAACTGGTATTTAGAGAATTTCCTATGTGCCAAAACTTTCCCTAAAATTTGCCTAACATATAAGATAATCATAACCTTAAGGTGGCATAATTATCTCCATTTTACTAATAAGGAAATGACAGTTCATGCATCATCTGAGAGTTCAAGAGCACAGTAAGTAAGGAAGACTGGATTTGAATCCAGGGACCATTCCAATCCAGTGGTCGTAACTCTCCCCCTGTCATTACTTTACTTCCTAAAAACTGGATTTATAGTTGTTTTAAGTTGGCCTGGATTTTTTTTTTAAATGATCTTTAAAGCCTAAATCTTGACTTTATAAAACATAATAGGTAGTACTCTATGCTGTCTGTAGAACTTCCTTTCTGGGGAAAAAAAAAGCTTTGCTCACTTGCTTCTATCACTAAGTAACCAGCTTGAGCAGCTTTTGGCTTGAGTATGGCAATTCACAGTGTGAATCAAAGTGTCTTGTACAACTATAAAATCTCAGAGTAATTTGTCTCATAGCACCAAAATAAAAGGGTAACAACTACTGTTAAAAGTTTAGAATGAGCTAAATTAACATGTTTACCAAGTTATTAGGAACTCTTAAACACCATACTGAAATATTCTTTTGTGTTAAGTATTTATCATTTTTTAAAGTACCCAAAAAGAATAATTTTGATACATTAACATACCCTGAAGAAATGAGCTACATCTTTGCACTTCTTGTGTAAGTTAGCCTGAATTACTGTCCATTGTCAGAATTGTATTATATACTCTTTTGGTTCCAGGCCTGGCACATCTTTTCCTCTCTAAAGCACTTCCTCTTCAAACCACTTCCCACTCACCAAATCTCAATCAGGTGACTCCCAAAGCATCAAAACATAGTACCTTATCCCATCTTGACAATGACACTGATTCTGCATTTTGTTATTAACACAGTACCTGGACCTCAACAAATAATGATAAAATAAGAATGACAGAAGTTCTACCATTGAAACAATCTGTTGATTCACAGCAATGGTCTAAATAACAATTTTCTGACTCAAACTGTGTCACTAATAATTTCAGTAGTGTGTTTTTGATAAATACAGATCCTGATCAAGATAAACTAAGTTTATTAATAAATTTTAAAATTTTTATTAGTAAGCTCAGAGTAACCAAGTGGATTGTTTATATATACTTTATGATGAACGTAGTTGCACTAGTCTGTATTTTTAAGAAGATTTGTTCAATAAGAACAAATTCTCTGTATTGTACTGCAGTATGTTCTTAATGAATCTAATTCTGATCATGCATTAAACTACACCAATAAACAATCTTAAAACATTGCTTAGTGAATTGAACTTGCCTCAGATATTTTAGAACCTTCACTGCAAATATACCAGAGAAATATGATAGTGCTTTTCAAAGACTAGTTGTTCTTAAATTTAAATCATTCAGTAGTGTTTAATAAAATAAACAAAACCCCCTCAAAATACCCCATCAAAATATGATATTGAAATCATTCACCTTCTGTTGGAAAACAAGGTAAACATGATATAATTGCATTTTCTGTTCGAGAAAACATTCAGAAACATTCTTCACAAAAGAGGTTATATCCTAGATCTCTTTTGAAACCAAAAGTTAAAAGCAAATTTTAATTTTATTCTTTGGCTATACCTAATAAATGAGTCACTGATATCAATTCACAATAAATTTATTTTACAGAAAAGAAAAAGTTTGCCATTAATGAAAAATTCAGTAGAAAACAGTTCTTCTGTTTTAAGTTGGGGCTCAAAAGTAGAAGCTGCTTATTAGTGAAACCTCAGTAGAAAGAGAGTTTTGTAAGAAAACATTCTTGGCAGGAAAGCTCTAACATAAATTTTGTAATGAAATAGTTACCATGCAATTTTATTGGCAGGAAGCCGGTTTCCAATCGCTGGTATTTTCTTTTCAGTCTCTTTAAGACATTAACATGGAAGATACTAAACCTGCTTTACTTAGAGTTAATTGTATATAAATACGGTGTCAAGATGGATAATCTTTCCATAGTCCACCTATTTAATTGAGCAGTTCTAAGTAGGTAATTGGCACCCTGCCCTTCTGATTTCCCCTTTCTCCCATTAGCCAGTCTGAATCCATTCCAACGACACTGTACACAGTGATCACCTACAAAATAAAAATATTTCCAGTTACTATGTTAAAAAACAAACACAGAGAAAACTAATCAGATTTGTATTTAACTATTCACTATAAAAGGACTTTAAACATTATTGTCAATTTTGCTAAAAGCTAAAGGATATTTTTAGAGGCAGTTTTAGAAATCTTCCAGTTATTTAGCAGTTAAAAGCTTTAAATATTTATGCGATGTTATAGTTTGTTAAAGAATAGTAAAATTCTATAAAATACTATAACCATCTGAAATCTATGAAAGCATTCATGATAAACTATTTCCAAATAAGTAATGAGGAATTTGCATTTTGTTATAATACTAGAAGATAGGTCAATCTACAATACAGTTTTCTTCTTATATCCACATTACTCACCTCATCTGCAAGAAGTGATAATTCACTACTGTTTGCAGCATCATAATCGTACAGAACCCTGGCCTTCCTGCTGCCACTGCCCTCCTTAAGGTCAATAAGATTGGAAGGAGAGGTCATTACTAGGCCACTTGAAGTCATGGCAGAAGAACCAATCACATTTGATGAAGCAGCTGGTACAGGTACCACGGAAGTCTGATTGTTGTTAGAATGATAACTGGATGGAAAACTGTTGAAAAGAAAATGGCTAATTGACTATTTTCAAGCAACCAAAGCTCCTGAATACCACCACTTGATGGCAGTGTTTACTTTCTACCAACTTTCACTTTGAATAGAGATTTATGGATGTTGATATTTTAATGACAAAGTGTGCTGTCTAGCCTACTATGCCTTTTGCAGTAATTCTTGACTCCTCTAAGCCTCATGCACATGAAGTCTGTCAACAAATCCTACCGCCTCTACTTTTAAAATTCACAACCAGGGTTTGACTACTTCCACCACATCCAAGCCACCATCATCTCCTGACTGACTAAATCATTCCAACAGGTTTCAACGAGGTCTGTCAGCTTCCATCCCATACCCTCTAACTATCCTCAACAGAGCAGCAAGAATGATTCTCTAAAAGCTAAAATCAAATCATGTCACTCTTCAGATCAAAACCCTCCAGAGAGTTCTCATATCGGAATACAGGCCTAAGTCCAAACAGTGGCTTCCAGAACTCTGTGTGTTCTAGCTTCATCTCAATTCATCTCCAACCAAGCCCCCCCTTACTGTTGCTTTAATAGAACAGCCATGTTCCTGCTTCAGGGCTTTTGTTCCTGCTGTACCCTTCCTGGAGCGCTGTCGTTCAGAAGCTGCATATTTTGCTTCCTTACATCTTCTAAGTCTCTGCCTTCCCAGACAAACACTATCCTAACTAAGATATTAGCTTGCTGTATTTTTCTCTATAGCATTTATCACCTTCTAAAATATGGTGTAATTCACATATACATATTTTTCTACTTCTCTCTTCCCCCAAATAGAAGGTAGGTTCCATTTTCTAATTTAGATTTCCCTCTAAAGTTAAGAATACATTTCCTAGCAACCCTTTCTGAGTGAAATCAGTCCTCAGCAGTGATTAAATATACACATTTCTGAAGATAGAAATAAAGCCCAATCTCTCCACCTATGAGGTTTTAAAACTAACCATGGAATTTTACTTTCAAATTTATTAGTATGTTTAGCTTTTGTTTAGCCATTAAAGTCTACCTATGTCAATTTTGGGGAATTAATGGAAAAAAAATAAAACACTAACCAACCAAAAAACCTGAAAGACCTTTCACCTTCTAAGAACTTTAATGACACAATAAAACAAAAGAAAACAAGACTTCCTGAAGTAACCTGATATGTTAAAACCTCCAAATTATTTAAGAATAAAAGACATTTACTAATCTTGTGAGAAATGCTTCTGTTTTCTCGTCTGTGAAATGTGAATATAATAGTACCTACCTCGCTGGTGTGAGGATTATGACATAATTACATATGAGCTGTCTAAAAGATTGTCTGGGGACACTGGAGCCCTTCCTAAGTGATTGCTGCTTTTCAGTTTCTACTAACAACATTGCTATTTTAGCCATTAGCATTACAATCTGGCCCTACTCTTCAGAAATCACTCTTGAATTTGTTACTATGGATTTAGATGACTTTCAAATTCTACATTTAAAGACTTACAAATTTTCCCACTCTCAATCATTGGTCATTACCAGTAATATAATTCATTGAGGGCAGGGAGACAGGCTAGACATTCTTTCTCAGAATAATAGCACTATTTTCATTTTGTAATGTTTGAGGTTATCCTAAAGTGCAGCAAGCAAACTAGATTTTGTTTGAATGGCTGAATTCCAAGCATTTGTGTGGTTTTAAGCAGAAAGCAAGTATGAATGGTAACAATAGCAGCCCCTCTCCTGCACTTCCAGAGTATTACAACAAAGCAAATAGGAAGTACTAAAGCTTCTTGGGCTTAAAATAGTTATAGTGATGTGGGAAAGAAAATGGTATTCTGATTTCAGATATTAATACCACTAACAAAACTTTAAATATGAAAGAAGTGTAAATCCTTCCATAAATCCTATTAGAATAACTAAGACTACAATTCATTAAGATCTAAAATTGGTTTTATAAATGTGCTTAATTTTGTTCTAAGTCTAGTTTTGAAAGATTAATATGCAAAAAGGAACCTCAAAGTGTCGAGGACATTTTTTTTGGCCTTATTCCTTGAAAAGTAAACTTCAAACAATCTTAAAGCTATTTTTATATAGAGCTATAAAGGTATTCACTTCAATTATCTTCTCATCCCTGTTAACATTCTTCTGTGCTAGAAGAGCTCAAAATGTTTTTTATAATCTCAGAAGTCTGATAATTACTTTTTAAAAAAAACCAAACTGATTTTGCTTTAGACAGTTTGGTTCAGTGAATAGAGTGTCGGCCTGTGGACTCAAGAGTCCTGGGTTCAATTCTGGTCAAGGGCATGTACTTTGGTTGTAGGTTCCTTCCAGGCTCGGGCCCTGGTTGGACTCATGCAGGAGGCAACTAACCGATGTGCTTCTCTCACACCGATTCTTCTTTCTGTTTTTCCCTTTCTCTTCCATTCTCTCCAAAAATCAATGGAAAAATATCCTTGAGGAATAAAAAAAAAATTACAAAAATAAAAAACCTGACTTTAAGCACACTAATAAAAGCCTTTAATTTTTCTAATCTTCACCACTAATACTACTTTATAAGTAAAAACCTGAATTTCTTTTCTTATCAGGAATTTCAAGTGAGAAGAAAATTACCACCTTCCCAGTTGTTTCTGAAGGTCTAACATGTACTGGTAACATTGTGCATAGTAAGTCATCTGGGCTTCTACAAAGTCATTCAGACAGCGGAGGTGATGGGCCTGTAAAGGAAAGTTACAGTCACTTCTTAGCTCTATAATCTACTTACAGTGGTAAATCATAAGGGAAACAGAATACAACACTGTACTCAGGGAGAATCACTAGAATCTAGCACTTTACTTCAAGGCTTACTAAAACTGACCATGACCAACAGTATAACAACAAACTGGTTAGCCAACAAAAAACAACAAATGGTTGATTATAGTGGGAGAACTAGGTGATAGGGTGTAAATAAAAACTTAAAATATTTCTTCATATATCTTAAAAAGTGTCACAGATTAAATTTCCTCATAAATAACTAAAAAGGAAGTTCATGTTTTCTTCCCCAAATTGCCAGAGGACTATCCAAGTTTTTTGTTCCAAATGAATTTCCAATAAATGAATACTCACGTGTGTACTGCTAATTCCTTCTAGCAGAAGTCTGGTTATCTCTGCCTGACGATCAAATTCACTTTGAGTTATTCTTAATTCCTGTTCAGACTTAAATTGGAACATAGTTTTAGAACTCATTAAGAGGACTTAGTCCATTTTACATACATTTATGTAGACCGTCAAAGAAAATCCCCAAACAGATCCTAAATGATAATCTGATAATTCTCTGATTCTGCTTTTGTATCTAAATTGGTCCCTGGTTTCTAAACAGTGTTTCTATATTACTCAATCTAGACAGAACTGATTCTTTCCAGTACTGGACTCAAAAGAATCTATTAATGCCAAAGTTTAATGGCATACACATAAAAGTCTAGAAAAACTACTATGGGACAATCAATATATTTCCAAATACCAAATTTGCCATTTTACAAAATCTTAAAATCACTAGTTTACATGCATAAAATATTTCAAAAAGTCCTCAATTCTTCTATAGTTACTTTTCTTTGAACTTAAAGATAGTCTTTCTTTAATATTAAAAGAACTACTTCAGAACAAAACCATAGGATTTTAACCCCTCTGGTGTTTAGTTACCAAACATATTCTTGTTTCTAGAACATAGTTTTTAGGTTTCTTCTAAGGATTCTTTTCCCTACATAAATGTGTTTAAGTTTTCTTTCCAAACTTTGCATGAAATATTACCCAAGAGAAATGCTAGGGTTTTTCTGTAAGTAATGGGTGACCTTTAATTAGTGGTGTGCTGGAGTAAACTGACTCTCTAGGAAATAAAAAAGCACTAACGTGTTGTTTTCATGTTATAAATATTCCTACACAGTTGATTTCAAGCTACCACGCTGAAGTCCCTAAACTTGGAATTGGAAAGAGGTGTTTGTATAATATAACTCTACTCCTAGCTTCAACCATTGATATAAGTTTAGTGCTGGGACAAAACAGTGCACTAAAAAGTCAACATAATATAAAAACAGTAAATACTGGCAAAACCATCTTCTCAAACTTTTAGCAAGAGTTGGTTGGTAGTAAGTGAGGAGATCACTCAAAATAGCATTCTCATTGGGAATCATCATTATTAATAATCTACATTAATAAAAGAGTAACATGCAAATTGACCATATCTTTGCGATGCCCAATCAAGAGTATGTAAATTAACCCAACAAATATGGTGGGTTAATTTGCATATATAGATTCTGAGCAGTTGGGGGCAGGGTGGGACACTTGCACAGTTGCCATGGCTACTGTGTAGGTGTTCTGCACCACCCCAGCTACTCTGGGCCTATGGGCAGGGTGGGAAGGCAGAAAGGCAACTCCAGACTGGAGCAAAAAGGTGGTGCTGACAGCCAAAAGAAGGAAGGTCCATTCTGGCACGACTCTTCATACATTGGTCTCTAGTGTTATTATAATGATATTCTCCAGAATAAATAACTTCCCACACTCAGCCAAATAAGTGCAATATTTCCAGGACTATGTAATACATAAAGTATAAGTATAAAAACAAGGTCTGAACTTTCCCCCTTTCATACCCCATCTCCCTCTCTTTCAGCCCTGGTGGCAACAGTTAGCCTATTGAGCCAATTAACAAGGAAGTAGCAGCAAAATAGAAAATCAGTTGCTTAAGTATGCTAATTTCACTGGCAACAGGCCTGGCAGAGGGAACTAAGAACTGACCATTAGATTGGATTTATAGAAATAAGCTTACATTACTCAATAAATCAAGTGCTAAAATTAAATTTACTTGACTAAAACCAGAATGAAGACACACTGCTTTGATGCAGGGCTTAAGTAACTTTCATATGCAAACTAGTAAGAAGTGGAAAAAAGTCCCAGGAGAAGAAAATAATCAATGCTCTTAAAGAAAATGTTAAGGAAAATCAATCACTTCAGTGTTGCTTTTGCACTATTTATTTATTTATTAAATATATTTTATTGATTTTTTTACAGAGAGGAAGAGAGAGATATAGAGAGCTAGAAACGTCGATGAGAGAGAAACATCGACCAACTGCTTTTGCACTATTTATTGTTCTGCTTGCTTGAATGCAAAGTTTTGATTAATAGAAGTAACTATAACAAATCAAAAATAAAAACATGGGATTAGTTCCATGTACAACTTGAATTAATAACTTTTAGTAGAAATAGCAGAAAGCCTACTAACTGACAATATTTTTGTACAAGGTATAAACAAGTATGCTTAAGTAGATTAAAAGTGTCCTGGAAGTTTGAGTCTGAAGTAGAAACAATGTTTTGTTTTGTTTTTCTCTTTCAAATAATTTTAATAATCTGGCAGTGAGTCAAAATATGAAAAGAGAATTCAAACTTACTTCCTTTAAGGGGGATGCTACCCTGATTGCCTTACACAAGCATAACCAAAGTTAATGATGACACTGGATTTCAAAGAGTGAGGATGTTAAGAAGGCTTCAAGGTTCACAGATTAAAGAACTTGGTTTTGATGATTTGGTGTGGAGATGTGTCACTAGTGTATTAAAGCTAAAACAATGAATAAAAAATAAATAACATAATCTTAAGGATAAGGGATCAGTCTTCCAGGTTTGAGCAGCCTAGACTTTATATTTAGAAAAGGTAAATGATAGAAAGAAAAAAAAAAATCTCATTAAAAAAAAAACAAGTTTAAGTGTGTACTGGGATAGTTGCAAGCAGATGGAAGTCCCAAATAATTTCTATTTCTACACATATAATTGAATCTGAGAGGCAGAGGTTAACTGAAATTAGGTTCAACATAATCAATTTGCTTAGGAAGAAAATGATCCATACTAGACAGGTAAAAAGGGTTTAAAGAAAGACAATAAATTTAAAAGGTTTTTATTTTGTCCTCCAGATCTCATTCCCTGACTTAATTTTACAATTAAAAGGTAGAGTTCTAGGGAAAAGGCTTACTGCTTAGAATTACTATACTTTTAACTGATTTAGAGCAGTGGTTCCCAATCTTTTTTGGCCATGCCCCACCTAAGCATTTCTAAAATCCTAATGCCCCTGCTGTGATCTATAATTCTTATTACTCAAAAAGTTGAACTCTTATTCACGTGGAAGAGGTCTACAAGGCCATTAACTTGGTCTAAACAAGCTTCCAAAGAATATGGCATTCATGAAAGAGAAAAGTGAAAGAACAAAAGGACAGCTCAAATACTGAGGAAGAAATAACCAAGAAATTATTAAAAATATAGTAATATGAAATATGAAAAAATAGCAAGTAAAATTTCAAAACACATAATAGAGAACTGAAATGCATAAATATGACACAATATATATTTATATACTGTATATGAGGCCCCTTGAGCCAAAAGAAATGCAAGAAATTCACTGTTAATAACTCATTCTCGAATTGCCCTCCTTAAAAAATCAAATGGCCACCTGTGGGGCGTGTAACCTATGTTGGGAACCACTACTCTAGATCACATGCGGCTCTTTGGCCCCTGGAGTTTTTAGCAAAGGCCAGCTTAGGAGTACCTCAATTAAATTAAAAACAACGTATCTACCTATATAGTTTAATTTTAAAATTTGGCTCTCAAAAGAAATTTCAGTTGTGTACTGTTGATATTTGGCTCTGCTGACTAATGAGTTTGAAGACCATGATCTAGAGTATATGACAACATAACTTGGATCAGAAAAGCAAGAAGAGTTCTTTTAAGATGTAACTTGGGAAAAGGGCAAGAATTTGTTGGTCTGTAATATCAACTAGAAATTTAGATCATGTATTTTCTGTGATAAACTTGGTCAGTGTTACCTACTTTAGCCTATGGAGTTAAATCTTAAAATATTACAGAAACATAAACACTTTTAAATTATGAAAAAATTGAGATTTACAGAAGAAAATCAATTTTGATATATTTAAGTTCCTCTCATATATATGTAATATAAATATTTATTTCATGAGTTGTTTCCCATTATGTCAGATATTTCCCAAAATTGTAAGATAATGAATCAAAATTTTAACGTATACTTGCATGCTAATCAAAGTGGAAGAGACCCTAGTTTTCTTGTTTAACCTATATTCTCTTCTATATTACTCTGCCATCTTTTCATGCTAGAAGTTCTAAAAGAAATCAGAGGCCAGGCTGAAACTGTAGCTAAACTGACGAGTAGATTCCACAAAGGGGGATGAGAGCATAAGTTAAGAATTTCACAGTGGATTGCCAAGTCATAAAATCAATAGCTCCATAACCTATGCACAAAACAGACCATATAGTCAGCAATCCTTCAGTCAAAAAATAAACAAAAAATAAATAAAAAATGCATTGAAAGATTTCCAATAGCATTTGAAATAAATCTGCACTAAAGTCATGATTTTATTTATTAAATTCTTGCTTAGTTATTTGATTTCCCAGCCCAGAAATATTAGAAATGACAATAGGCTAGTAGCAGACATATGGACAACTTCTAAAAGTGACAGTTTGACAAGAAGACAACACACTTCAAAAACAAAAGACCTGTTACATAGTATAACAATGAATATTCATAATAAAGACCATAACTTTATGTAGAATTCAATATATGCTATTCTGTTTAATGAAGCATCAAAATACTTTTTTACAAAGGTTTTCAACTAAAGTGACAAAAATAAGCTTTGGTGTTGGCGAGAACAAGATTCAGTTACCTAGAAAATGTATTTATGTGACACGAACACAGAGAATATGATGTTAGCTATATTTTACATAATTGCCATATGAATAAACCAAGTATTTAAATGTCTCTGGGAGGGCACTATAAAGATTACCACACAATCTATCAGGTATCAATAGTGTGCGCAAACAATATCTCTGCAGCACTGTTCTATTGCTCTGTGGTCCTGAGTGTTCCATAATCATTTTCAGATTTTATAAGACACAGTAACAAAGACTGTGTCTAGGCCCACAGTTATCGTCCAATATTCTGAGTGAATGACAATTAAATTTGTTTCATAATTCTGTAGTTTAATAATTTACTTACTTTTGTCACTTCCTCTGCCCAAATCTAGCCAGCATTAAAAATTAGAAAAAAATATACAACATGAAAGTTGGAATTTAACATTTTCTACAAATTAGTATAGAGAAATGCAAATATTTTAATTCAAATGGCATATGCCTTTTCTCAGCATCACATTATTAGATGAAGTATAGCAGTAACTAAATTAGTACAGCTTAATATACTGTGAAAGTATGTCTTTATATGTATAAATACTATCAATTTTTGAATCTTACACTAATTCTACAAATTAATAACAATTTTCTAAAATGGAATATTTAACCCCTCTTAGTGCTAGTTTTCTTATTTATAAAATGAGAAGTTTGGACCAAATGATTTCTAGTTCCTCATTAAGCTTAAAATTCTACAACTTTAGGAAATTAAAATAAAGCAAAGGTAAATGTACACTGAACACTGATAAAGTCATTGGGATGGGAGGGAGGGCAATAAACTAGAGATACTAATATAATGAATTTAAAATTACCAGAGTTAAATACATCTTATTATAAGTAGATGATATTAGTAATAAGACAAATGCCTGATAAATGAAATAGTCTTGCTAATTGGCAAGGATATTTTTACAAAAGAAAACCTATGATTTATATACTAACTTACCAATGACAGAAAGAAATAGTTTCACACTTTTCATTTTCATACAGATAGGACAATGAAAATAAATAAATGCATTCTCTTGCTATTTCAGGAAAGCCCTCATATAGTCAGGAATTCATGGATTCCACCCCCCCCTCCTACCTTACCCCCGCCCCCTATTTTTAGTTCAATGCTAATATTGAAAATGAGAGCAGTTAGTTTAACTGCCAATTTATCAACTTTATTACAATTTCCCTGTTACTTCTATGGAAGTAATGTATCTAGGAGTATAATATACCAAATACTCATAAATCTTTACTAGCTAACATTTTTAAGATTTGGGCAGTGTTCAGATTTTTCATATTTCTATTATGTTAAAAAATAAAAAATTCCCAGCTGGCCAAATGTGGCTCAGCAGTTGACCACTGACCCAGGAACCAAGAGGTCACTGGTTTGATTTCAAGTTAAGGTAAATGCCTGGGTTGCAGGCTCAATCCCCAGTAGGAGGAGTGCAGAAGACAGCCAATCAATGACTCTCTCTCATCATTGATGTTTCTATCTCTTTCCCTCTCCCCTCCTCTCTGAAATCAATAAAAATATATTTTAAAAAAGTCCTAGCATCTCTAAAATTTCCTCAAATCAAGCTCAATATATACTCTGGATACTACATATAACAATTCTCACTTTTAATTCTTGTCCACCATTTCTATTCAGCAATTTTCTTAAGTAAATTATCGTATGGAGGAATGGGCCTTGCCACTACATAAATACCTAAACTATTGGGGTTTGTCTTGGCCTGGAATTGCAAAACAAATTCATTCTATGTTGAGTTTGGGTGAAAATTAAGGGGACATTGAAGGTACTGAGAAACAAAGTAAATATGTATATCTTATACCTTTCTCTAAGTTAAGTAAGTTTTGTTAATTTTCTTTGCCAAAAGTAAACATATAAAGTGCCAGCTAAATTAAGATCTTTTATAGGGCATAAAAGGCACAATAAATTTGTGTGTAAAATCAGACTGTAAAATCTGAATTTGGCATAGCTAATATATTTGGCAATTAGAATACATTCTTTCTTTTTAGTTTCAATATTACTTAAGCTATTATCCCACATATTTTTTGTTAAACTAATGAATGCATGGCTTTGAATATTTTAGACCATTAAATGCAGATGATAGCAGGAGAAGGCACTTTTTCAAGATGTAGAAAACACAGTAGGCCAACAAACCTTTAGCCATTTTACATGCAGGAAATTGAGCATGTAAGAGAAATTTACCATGTTATCTCCTTCAAGGTGAGCTGAGTTTAGTTGCTTAAATACATAGGTAAGAGACAAAGAACACATACCAATGAACACAGTGAAACAAGTTATTTCTGCACAATAAAGCACACACAAACAGGTATTATTACTTTAAAAAAACCCCTCTATTTGTTCTATGGAATTTCATAGTGGTACCTATTCTACTTTTCCAAAAGATTCAAATATTCAAAGACAAAAAAAATATGGCTGATGCCTGATCCTGATTTAAAATTAAAATCATTTAGGGAAAATGCATCACTTTAAAACCTGCTGCCATTATCTATAATTTTCATTAAAATGTTCACTATGAAAGCCCTTCTGATTACCCACAGCTTTCCCATTCAAAAGAATAACTAGTCATAAAACAATCTATGGAAATTTATAAATAAGTAAAACCAAAGAAAGTCTGAGGTTAGAGTAACTTCTTCAGCTGCCACTTAGAACTAGGAAATGTGTCAAAGAAGAAAAAATAAAACAAACCCAAACTTCTAACAGTTTCTATTTTTCTGTGTCAGTGGTCGGCAAACTCATTAGTCAACAGAGCCAAACATCAACAGTACAATGATTGAAATTTATTTTGAGAGCTAAATTTTTAGAACTTAAACTACATAGGTAGGTACATTTGTTATCAATTTAACTAGAGGCCTGGTGCACAAAATTTGTGCACAGGAGGGGAGGTGTCCCTCAACCCAGCTTGCATCCTCTCCAATTTGAGACCCTTGAAGGATGTCAAACTGCTGGTTTAGGCCTGGTGGGATCAGGCCTAAATGGGCAGTCAGATATCCCTCTCACAATCCAGGACTGCTGGCTCCCAACTGCTTGCCTGCCTGATCACCTCCTAACCACTCTCCTGCCAGCTTGATTGATTCTTAACTGCTCCCTTGCCAGCCTGTTTGTCCCTAACTGTCCTCCCCTGCAGGCCTGGTTCCCCCCAACTGTCTTTCCCTGCAGGCCTGGTCACCCCCAACCTCCCTCTTCTGCCAGCTTGGTCACCCCTAACTGCCCTCCCATGCAGGTTTAATTGCCCACAACTGCCCTCCCTTGCAGGCCTGGTCCCTCCCAACTGCCCTCCCCTGTTGGCCATCTTGTGTCCACATGGGGGCAGGATCTTTGATTACATGGGGGCAGCCATTTTGTGTGTTGGAGTGATGGTCAATTTGCATATTAGTCTTTAGATAGGATAGAGGCCTGGTGCACGGGTAGGGGTTGGCTGATTTGCCTGAAGAATGTCCCGGATCAGCGTGGGGGTTCCTTGGGGCATGGGGTGGCCTGGGTGAGGGGCCTGTGGTGATTTGCAGGCCGGCCATGCCCGCTGGCAACCCAAGCGGAGGCTCTGGTATCTGGGGTTTATCTTCAACAATTGAAACTTTTTAGCCTTAAGGGGAGGCCTGGGCTGGCCAGGATGTGCGGAAAGCTTGGCTTCCTCCATCACTGGGGGCAACCTTAACCTCCTGCTCTTTCCTGCTCTGTGGCTGCTGCCATTTCTGTTTGGATTTATGTATCTTCCATCATTGAAACTTTGTAGCCTTGACTGGAGGCCTAGGCTGGCAAGGGCAGGCGGAAAGCTTGGCTTCCTCCATTGCTGGGGAAACCCAAGTCTCCCTCCTGCTCTCCATAGCCGTAGCCATCTTGGTTGGGTTTATTTGCATATTCGCTCCTGATTGCCTGGTGAGCATGGCTTATGGGCGTGGCTTGTGGGTGTAGCAGAGTGATGGTTAATTTGCATATTACTCTTTTTATTAGATAGGATTAGGGTACTCTTAAGCTGGCCTGTGCTAAAAACTCAAGGGGCCAAAGAGCCGCATATGGCTTACAAGCCACAGTTTGCCGACCACTGCTCTAAATAAACACAAAAAGCCTATTTAAGGAAGTTAGGTTGTTCCTGAAGATGATGTCAGAATAATTCTGAGGTAAAATTGACAATGAATTTGGAATTACTGTCCTGTCAAAGATAGCTCTTTTCCTGCAATAACTAATATAGAATCTCCAAAAGGGGAACAGTATAGGAGAAAATAATTTATTTCACATATACAAGGTACTGGGTTAATCTCATAAGTTATCACTGTCTAATACCAAGTTATCAGTTTTAAATTTCATTCAAAATCAAGTCTCAGTCTTTTCTTTCCCAAAATGATGGTAGTGATAATGAATTGTGAACAGAGGGCAGTGGGAATGTAAGGCTCTTAACAAAACGTATCTCTTAGCTCAAATTAAGAATTAACTTATTAGCGTCCTCTAAAAAAATCCAGATTTGTTTATATTGTATTATCACAAAGTTGTTCTAATTCAAATCTGATTCATCTCTTCAAACTTTGGAATAAAGATTTAAACAATATAAATGTTAGATTAAATAAGAAGCTTATAAATAAAACCTTTCTACAAAGTTTTATATATATGTGTGTGTATATATACATATATATAATTGAATTACTATATTTAATACACACTCTGTTTTATCTGAGATTGTTTTTATGAAAAGTATACAAGAACTTATTTATCCAAATAGGCTTCCTTCCCTGCAAAGCAGTTACCCGTCAGTCCATGTTGCCACTGTTTGAATGTTTTTGGAACTATTCTTGGTGACAACTCCTTTAATCAGTTTGAGTCACACATGGAAGGGGCATTACAAAATCTACCTTTTAAGCCACATATAAGCATTCTCTAGTGTGATTCATTCTCATCTTAATTACTATTTGTTTTTCTATTTCAAATACAATAAACCTATCTCCAAAAAACCTATTTGCCATCACCAGTGCCTGAGGATATTTAAGTAACATTACACTGCTTGAGGAGCTCATAATTCTCATAATTTTTGTTTTTTAGCAACAAGGGTATCACTGAAATAAGAACAATGCCTGCTGATATAAGTGCTTTGCACTGATTTGGATGTATTTAGTTCTGATAACAAAAACAACACCCTAAAGTCATATTCTAGTCTTACTGACAAATTGTAGCTTATACTGTATATGAGTAAAATATTTTACAAGTTTGAAAATTATTAACTTAAAATGTTTTTTTAAATTAAAGAACACTTCTTACTGAAGCTCTAGCTTCTGCAGCTTTTGCCTTTTTTAGTCTGGTTTTTGCAGCATCCAGGTCCAGTCTCTTATTTTGTAGTAGCTTCCTTTCTTTCTATAAGAAAAATATAAAGGCTAATGATATTAAAATCCAGTAAGAACATACTTTAAAAATATTATTTTACATTAGTATTTAAAGTATTATTTTCCATAAAATATATGAATCATCTGATAAACTGAGATCTATAATTACAAAATTGGCTATCCAGTATTTAACTCCCTTTTCTTACTGTTCTCAATTTTAAAGCAATAGAGACATTCTAGATATCTGGGTAAGATGGCAGGTGACAGTGAATACAAAGAAATATTATTCTTAATACTTAGGGATTTTGCTTCCCAGGAAAAATTTGGCAATATCTTTTTGATTATCACAATTGGGGGAGGAATATTATTAGTATCCAATGGTAGAAGCCAAGAATGCTGCTAAACATCCCATAATGCAGTATAGCTTCCACAACAAAGAATTATTCAGTTTAAAATGTCAGTAGTGTCCAAGATGAAAAACTTAAAAAAAAAAAATTAAATATTTTTACTGAAATCAGAGAGAGGGGGAGAAAGAAAATCAATGAGAGAGAAACATCGATTGGCAGCCTCTTGCACACCCCACATTGGGGATCAAGCTTGCAACCAGGCATGTGCCCTGACCAGGTATCGAACCACAACCTCTTGGTACATGGGTCAATGCTCAACCACTGAGCCACACCAGCCAGACTGGTATGAAAAACTTTTCACAGCATTAGTTTATCTAGAAAGTGCCTATGATGAAGGAAGTATAGGCCTAGTATAAAGCTGCTTGATATCTTTTGTGATCACATGTACCATAGCATGGAGAGCAACTCTACTATTCCAGCTTACAAAATAAATAATGAATAAACATAGAATTCCTCATGAGAACTTCAAGCTTCTGTAAAGTAGGCAGTGTTTGTTTTATTAATTTTTAGACAGATTTCATTTATCAAATTTCATCCCATTGACAATCTAGTATCTTTTAAATTGTATTTCAACTTGCTGATTTTTCCTTTATCTCAGGCCAAATACTTTTACTTAGAGACAAATTCATTATAAATATGTTTCCTGTAATATTTTATAATAAGAAATCTGTAAGTAATGTTTGACCTAATATTTAAATTAGAGCAGTCTTGCAATAATCTTAGAAAAAAATAGCTACCTAAATCTCCATCCTCCATCACTTAATAATAGACTAATATATTAGGTTTGGGAAAATGGTAATATTTATTGCTTACACATCAGGAAAAAACAGTTATGTGAAAAGAAAATAGAGATGCAAAAGGACAGGAAGTCTAATAGCCAGAAATATAGCTTCTAATAATTGGTTTCTGGCTTCCACTTTAAATGAATAGTTATATGGCTAACTATGGTGATATTTTGTGCCATATTTTAATAATCATTCCAGGAACCTCTCTCTCTATATTTTAATGTTGATAATAAATAAGAATGATATGAGTATCTCAATAATACAACAGAGACACAAAAATGGAGTCCATATCATCAATAGTCCTTCATTTTGATTAGCTTTGTGTTGTTAAATACATACCTACCTAGGTTATTTGAAATTTCTAATCTGTGACATCTATACAATTAAGATGGCAAATTATACATGTAAATATTTTACTAAAAATTAAAGCACTTTTCAACTCACAGCAATTGTTTTATAATCTCCTTCTATAAAGTTTCTTAAAGGAGTGAGAAAATTTAAAGCTGATGTTTGAATCAGCTCTCTGTCTGCGGTTCCAATTCGTTTTTGTGTTTCTCCACACTTAATAAGAGCATTACCTGAAAAGGAAAAAAATTTTTTCTTAAACCATTGTCTGTTAATGTCGAAAACAGAATCATGTCAACATAAATCAGCAATGTGATCTGCTTCATAGTTGTCACTTGTTTATGTAAGTAAAAAAACAAACAGAAATAACTGTAGTTAAGGCAGTTTTATTTTAAGTAATCTACACTAATAAAAGAGGAAGATGCAAATTGACTGTATCTCCGCTACACCTACCAGCCAATCCAGAGTATGCAAATTAACTTGAAAAGATGGCAGGGGCCCTGCCCCCCCGCCCCCCCCCCCCAGCTGCTCCGAGCCTGTAGGAAGCCAAGAAGTTGGGCGCTAGCACCTGAGGCTGGCTGCGGCCAGGGAGACCAAAAAGCTGCCTGCCCCATGATTCCAGGCCTCAGTCAGCTGGAGAAGCCGCCCGCCCCATGTCCTGGAGATAAACTGGGCCCCAGTGCCGGAGGCTGGCTGCAGCCCGGGAAATGAAGAAGCCGCCTGCCCCATGATCCTAGGGCTCAGCCAGCAGCAGAAGCCTCATGTCTGCCAGCCCACATCCTGGTGGAGACAGAAACTGAGGCTGGCTATAGCCCAGGAGATAAAGAAGCCACCTGCCCTGTGATCCCAGGCCGCAGCCAGCTGGAGAAGTTGTCCATACTCCATTCTAAGGAAGATGGAGAAGCTGCTCGCCTATGGTCCAGGTGCCAGCTACTGCGGCTGGCTAGTCTGATAGATGGAAAAACCACCCACCCTGTAGTCCCAGGCACCAGTACCTGCGGCTGGCTGTGGCCTGGGAGATGGAGACGCTGCTCACCCTGTGGTCCTGAGAGCCAGCATTTGCGGCTGCAGCACAGGAGAAACCATCTGCCCACCATCCCGAGGATACAGCCAGCCTGGGTGTCTATGGTTGACCAGAGAGAGGGAAGCCCGGATCCCAGGTGCTTGTGGTCGGCTGATGAAGGGAATCCTGGGTCTTGGATGTGGGGCAAAGGCAGAGGTGGTTAGGGGCAATCAAGCCAGGAGGGGAGCAGTTAGGGATGATCAGGCTGGCAGGCTGAAGCAGTTAGGGGCAATCAGGCAGGCAGGCGAGTGGTTAGGAGCCAGCAGTTCTGGATTGTGAGACGGATGTCAGACTGCTGGTTATCCCCCAAGGGGTCCCAGATTGGAGACTGTGCAGGCCGAGCTAAGGGATACCCTTCCCACCCCGCCCTCTCCTGCATGCACGAATTTCATGCATTGGGCTTCTAATAAGATTATAAATATCTAAGTAAAAATGACAAAGATAAATTCATCATTTAATTGTACTAATTCCATCAATGGGACAAAAGAGGGTGGATACAATGAAGAGTATGTACTATCACAGCTCAAATAGTGTAGATTTATTTATAAAAATACTAGAGGCCTGGTGTACGGATTCGTGCACTGGCAGGGTGCACACATCTCCAGAGGGGTCCCAGATTGCAAGAGGGCACAGGCCAGGCTGAGGGACCCCACCAGTACACGACTGGGGCCAGGGAGGGATTGCAGGAGGGCTCCAAGGCATGTCCAGCCCATCTCGCCCCAGACTGGCCTGACCCCAGCAGCAAGCTGACCTACCCACCAGAGCATCTGCCCCCTGATGGTCAGTGCACGTCATAGCTACTGGTTGAACAGTCAAATAGCTGACCAGCAGCTTAGGCTTTTATGTATACATAGATAGTGCTTAAAAATATTTTATTAAGTAATCAAGCCAAAATTTGTCTTGTTTCTATATTTATGTACTTACCTCAAATATCTATAATTAACAGTATACTACATATTTGTATTTTATTTATTTATTTATTTATTTATTTATTTATTTATTTATTTAAAATACATTTTATTGATTTTGTACAGAGAGGAAGGGAGAGAGATAGAGAGCTAGAAACATCGATGAGAGAGAATCATTGATCAGCTGTCTCTTGCACACCCTGTACTGGGGATATGCCCGCAGCTAAGGTACATGCCCTTGACCGGAATCGAACCTGGGTCCCTTCAGTCCCCAAGCCAACGCTCTATCCATTGAGCCAAACCGGTCTCGGCCATATTTGTATTTTAAGTTAAAGAAAAAAAAAAATCCATGTTTTGAAAGAAAAGTACTGTGGGAGAAAGAAAAGGGAACACAAGATCAAGATTCTACTCTTAGTTTTATCTCTAATGAGTTTTAGTTCTGTGGATCTTAATTCCTTCATGCTAGAATTAGATTAGATCTGATTGGTAAGGAAGTAATATAACACAGCAGTTAAGAGCTCAATTTCTGGATATAGATCTATATTTGAATTACTAGGTATAAGATCATGGATGAATTATGTAACCTCTCTAAGACTCAGTTTCCTTTTTTTAAAATGAAGATAGAATTTATAAGTAGGATATGAAGTGGGGATTTATTGAAATAATACTTATAATAAAGTATTCCAATGCTTGGAATACTCAATTGTTAGCTATTATCAATTAATAATACAGATTCTCAAAGCTCAATTCCAATAATCAGGGTACATTCAATGAAATTATTAGAAATAAAAACAGATTAAGTAAATTATAAAAGAAAAAAATTTAGAAGCCTTTCAAATGATCATGTTCCACTAGGCCTTCAATTTGGTGAAGGATAGGCCTGGGTCTCCTTAAACTTTTATGACTCTAGCATCTAACTGTGCCTGGTACAAGCAGGTAATACAAAAATCTGCTTAATATATATAGTTTTTCTTAAATTAGTAACTAAACTTTAGAAATAAAACTACAAATTTAAAGTATCTCCCAACTTCTGAAAAAATTTTGAAGAACACAATGTAAAAATTTTTAAGTTGTACATCTAAATGGGTTAAATGGCATTGATTGTGAAGTAGTTAGGTTTTTCCTCTAACATAAAGAAGAGAACTACTACCGTGTTTCCCTGAAAATAATACATTCTCTGAAAATCAGACCTACTTACAGGTTTCCTTCTGAGTGAAATATAAGGCATCCCCCCCGAAAATAAGGCCCTCATTGGCTAAACATGAGAGATTTGTCCACTGATTCTGAAAGAAATGGAGTCACATTCACCAGGAAATTCAGGAATTGGATTGTTATGATAATGTTCCAGAAGATGATGACATGATTGTCATTGAATAAATTGGTAAATTCTTGATACTATAGGATTCACAGTTTGTCTGGTTTGTGTTGACAACTACCGTACCATATATTTTAATACAGGTAATAAATTTCCTTTATTTTCATTTAACAATAAATGTGTACCGTATTCTTCTTCATGGAAAAATAAGACATCCCCTGGAAATAAGACCTAGCGCATCTTTGGGAGCAAAAATTAATATAAGACACTGTCTTATTTTCGAGGAAACAGGGTAAAGTTTATTTAGTTCCAGAATTTATGAGCTATTTCATAAATCAGGACTATATATAAAAATCATTTATTTTACCTAGAATTTCATATCAATTTTTAAAACCAATTTCTTGCAGAAGTCTTAAAAAGACTTGAACAACAGGAAAAAAACTATAGCCTTAACCGGTTTGGCTCAGTAGATAGAGTGTCGGTCTGTGGACTGAAAGGTTCCAGGTTTGATTCCGGTCAGGGGCATGTGTCTTGGTTATGGGCATATCCCTGGTGGGAGGTGTGCAGGAGGCAGCTGATGGATGTTTCTCTCTCATCAATGTTTCTAACTTTCTATCCTTCTCCCTTCCTCTCTGTAAAAAATCAATAAAATATAAAAAAAAAGAGAAAAAGGAAAAAAGCTATAGAAATCCAAAATTGCCGTATATTCTGAGAAAATTAGATTTGAAGAATAGTAATATATAACTTTGAGTTCCAGAGTAATACATTAAAATACACAACAACTAACAAAGCTGAAGAAACTGTAAAACATGATCATAAAAAAATGAAACTATATGAAGAAAATGGAAATGAAATGTAATCCAAACATCCAGAGATAACCATTGTTAACATTTTTGTATTAATGACATTATGTGTAATGAAAGCAATAGTGATTCCAACACTTTCAATGTGTCAGGTACTTTTTTATAGAAATAAATAAGCCCTCAGGAAAGCTTTTTTAAAAAAAAGAGGAGACTCATATAAACAAAAACTACAATGTATCTTAAGTACAACGAGATATTGCAAGAGTGCAAGTGAAGAATCCACTTAACATTTTAAATATAAAAAGATCATATGAAAGCTCAGAATAATATATGCTTACTTATATTAAATTAAGTTGAAATGAACATACTTATTTCTTACCAATAGTTCTCACTTCATTGAAAATTTTAACATAAAAATTTTGAAGTTAAAAGTGATTCCACAAATATTAGGTAAATGTTAATGATGGCTCTTAAGTAGTAAAAATCTACAAGTAAAGATAAATAGACTTTTTGCTTCTCACTTACCATAAGCTGTTCCAGGGCCAAACTCAGTCCCTGCATCAATCATATATTGTCCCAAAAGTTCTGGGTTGTTTACACGACTTGGAGCTTTTCTATCCAGTTTCTCATAAACAAATTCTTCTATCCTGGCATCTACAAGAAAAGTTTAAAATTACCAATTTCAAAACAGTAAAACTATTTAAGACTCTTTTGTTCCACTACCAGCCATTTATCGCCCTGTAAAATTAACATGAAATTAGCATGCTTTCAAGTACTTATATTAATATCCTGGCGGCCTCGTGCATGACATACGTGTACCCAGGGGTGGGGTGAGGGGGGGTCCCTCAGCCTGGCCTGTGCACTTTCACAGCTCAGGAGCCCTCAGGGGATATTCACGGGGAGCCGGCCTAAACTGCAGTAGGGCACTGGAAAGCGGGCCTAAGTCACAGTTGGACATCCTTAGTGCTGTGGAGGCCTGAGAGGCTCCTGGGGAGAGGGGCTCCATCAGGCTGGCTTGTGGCGTTCCCCCTGTGGGAGAGCATTGACCACCAGTGGGCAGCTTCTCCGTTGAGTGTCTGCCCCCTGGTGGTCAGTGCACATAACACCCACCAGTTATTCCGCTGTTCTGTCCATTTGCATATTACCCGTTTATTACATTATTTATATGTTGAGTATTATATAGCTCTAAGAAACTTACTACTTTAGAAATATGAAAAATATTTTGGAACAAAAATATTTTAAAGTACAGTAAAACCATCATGAGTATTTTATAGGATTTTAAGTTCCAAAAAAGGGCTGGTATTCACTTTATATTTAGTGAAATTGCATTTGCCCCATTCATATAATGGCTAACTTTTAACTCTGGATAAATGTTTTCAATTTTAAAAGCAGGATTTTTTAACTATGAAAATATGGATATAAGGTACCTTTAAGAACCAGAGTCACATACTTCTGAAACCTTTTTTTGGCTTTTGCTTGCTCAAAGTTGACTCTCCTTCCTAGCGTCTAAATATAGGCATAGGGGTTTAAGAATAGAGTAATCCAGGCTTGGAATAGTCTGCAGACAGAAATCAGCAATATGATGCCTTGGCTTAATTGTATTTAATTATATTTAAAGTATATACTTGTAGATACATAGATATCTCTGAGCATGTATTCACTCAAGATTTCACCATTACAAATAAGATTAAAATACAAGAGAAAAGGTTAAAGGCAATTATAGAATATTAGTATAAATGGGAAAGGGAAAAATATGAATAAACATTTTAGTGTAATATTCAAGAAACTCACATTTACATTGCTGCCTAACAGTGAAGTATTTCAGAGACAAATGAGAAAAAGTTCAAATTTCCAGAAACTATGATTAAATATAAATTAAAATTATAATCCAAAAAGAAGTTAAATATGTTCTTTTAAGCAGCTCACATAATTCCTCCACAAGTGTAAGTTTTACACAGTGCATTGAAATTTCAAAAATAAGCTAAACCAATACAGAAACACTTCAAGAGTTGGCAAAAGTGTTAATTATAAAAACATAAAATACACTTTTGTGGATACACTGGTACAGTATCAGAAGAGTTTTTAAGCAGTGATTTTAAAAAACATTAAATGAATTAAAACCAAAATGAGTCAGTTTAAAATGAATCATTTAGATGATGTTACCTAAGTTTTAGAATCTTATTTTCTGACCACCACAAAAATTCTTAGCTTTGCTGTTTTTTTACCTATTTGGTAAAAAGTATAAATCCCATTGTTGATTTCATTCAGTTAATTTTAAATAAATGTTTCATTTCACTAAGTCTTAAAACACATTTAGGCAACTCTGCTATATAATATATATTTCTGAAAAACACTAAGTTCTAAAAAACCATACACTAAAAATGACAGGACTTACAGAAAAATAGCTGGGTTTAACCACACAAAACTAAGTAACTTTATAACCAGAGCACAAACAAAAAAATAAAAATAATTGTTACTACTTTTGAATTAAAACACTAATTTAAAATAATACTTATGAGCCATTATAACTTCTTTATAAGAACACCATTCCTGTTTACTAGTCATGCATGACTTTATTTGCCATTCTGGAAAACATATTTTAGAACAAACTATGTGTGCCAAGGAACTCTGGATAGAGCAAGGAATAAAAGAAAAACATTCTACTTTTCTTTTTTTTGGTGCCATGATATATAATTTAAGTAGCCTTAAATGAATAACAAAGACTAGGCCTCAAAGTATAAAAGGTGTAGTTTAAAAAGTCACTGCAATTTAAATAAAACTGCAAATAATTACTAATAGTTTGCACAGTGCTTGAGTTTTTATGCAATAGCAGCAAAGTTGGAATTTTAAGTACTTAAAAATAAGTTTATGGCACTCACAACGCGGTCACAATAACATTGGAGGAAAAGAGGAAGGAAAGCATGTATTGTTGCCTTTGTCCTTCAATTTTGATATGTAAGTTTCCAGTGAAAAGACTGTCAATGTGCTTGGTTCTAGTTCAAGTTCCCCTTCTAATTAGCTATGATAAATTATATAAAATGCTACCTTGTGAGTAACTTTTATTTGCAAAGTTATTTATAAAGTGATCTGCTTAGGGTTGTCAGAAAATCAAATGGAATAATTTATGTAAAAATGTGAAACTTAACATAAACGAGTGGTAACAAATTAACTTTCCCTTTAATTATTTAGGGATAATTCTCCCTTGGATGAAACAGAAAGAGCAATTTAATTTCTTTTCATAGACCTTTATATCTCTTAAAATTCAAAGTCACTGCCTGAAATTGAATTTTCAAGAAGATTTTACAAAAGCCTAAAAATGTTGTCAGTTTGTTAGGTGATACACAAAAAAATGTTTACCACCCTCTTCTTAAGCAAGACACATAAAAATAACCATAATCTCAAAGCTATAAACAAAAAATTCTCCAATGAAATTAAAACCTTTTTTAACATTAAAAACCCTACTAACAGAATTTTAAAAATAAGAATAGTCAATAAGATAGACAAAGGTAAAAAGTTTCTTACTTGGATTTGGCTGCAATAACACTTCAGTTTGTTTCATTATTTTTTCTGTCCATATTTTGGTACATTCAGCTTTGCTAAGAAGGTTCTCTAAGTGAGCATCCAATTCTGTCTTCTCTGCCTGGCCAAGCTTTTCTTCTGTGAACTGTTAGTGATTATTTTAAGACAATATTAAATATACTGCAAATACATTTTAATAACCTATATTAATAATTAAAAACAAATCCAAACAATCCCAAACATACAATTATTTGTAAACCATTGCATGTAAATGTTACTGTTTTTGCTTCTACAATAATTTTGCCCTTATCTATACCTTTTTTGTAGCACTTATAATCCTATCTTATTGTTAACACGGATCCTCAGTTCTGCTAAAATGCAGGATGTGAATTCTAAAAAACAAAACAAAAAACGAACACACTGTCTGGTATATAGAGTATATAAATATTTCTTACTTATACAGGTATCATAACAGTAAGGAGTAAGAGCTTTGAGTCAGATGGATATGAATTCATACCCTGACTGCAATGTTGTGTGACCTGAGCAAGCTTCTGAAAATTTTTTCCTTAGGTATCCTCTATCATAAAAAAGAGCCAATTATATCTTATAGTACTCTGAAAGTTAATTAAGTATATGTAAATCACATTGTTTAATGCCTGATCATTGTTAATGAATTTAAAAAGGGCTGTTTATGTTTAATGTGGCATTATATTATTGGCACTTCAATCATACCTAGGTAGATAGGCTTTTATGAGATGCTCTGAAAAACAAATAATTTGTTTCTTCAGGATATGTTCTAGCAATTAATGGATAGACTAACTTTTGGAATATATCCTATTCATACTATGAAGGTATCTTTTAAAGATCATAAAGTATAGTTAAATATACTCAATGTATATTATCTCGTGTTGGTTTTTCAGGAAAGGCAGCATTGCACATACAGTAACAAAGAAGTAAAAAGATTTTCTTCTCTTTAGATTTTATGAAGACTTCTGGATATTTTTCATTAAATACTAGAAGTGATGACTCAGCCTGCTTATCATGAATAACTTTTTTCCTAGAATATGATGTTGCTTTTCCCATCATAACACAGGCATATCACTAGCACTAATTCTATGCTCATTAATCATGACTCATTTCCGGGTAACAAAATATAATGTTCACCTTGCTTTTTCTCCCTACTCTTCCTTCCTTCCCTTCCTTCCCTTCCTTCCCTTCCTTCCCTTCCTTCCTTCCCTTCCTTCCTTCCTTCCCTCCCTCCCTCCCTTTTAAAATATATTTTATTGATTTTTTACAGAGATGAAGAGAGAGGGCTAGAGAGTTTGAAACATCGATGAGAGAGAATCATCAATCAGCTGCCTCTTGCACACTCCCTACTGGGGATATGCCCGAAACCAAGGTACATGCCCTTGACCGGAATCGAACCTGGGCCTTTTCAGTCCACAGGCCGACGCTCTATCTAAAACCGGTTTTGGCACCATTCTCATTTCTTAAAATATCTCCTCCTGCTCCACTTGTCTGAGTTTTATTATGTTTCTTGCAGCATCCTTGTTTTTGGTCTGATACTTTCCGTTGATTATCACTTAGCATTTTTAGCTGAAAGGTCCTCTAGAAAACCACCAAGGTTTTGTTCAGGTGCTAGAAATAAGGCCTAAGACTTGACAAAAACAGAAACAGGGGCAATCAGGAAGGCAGGCAGGCAGGTGAGCAGTTGGGTGCCAGCAATCCTGGATTGTGAGAGGGATGTGTGGGATCAGGCCTAAACGGGCAGTCGAATATTCCTCAAGGAGTCCCAGATTGGAGAGGGTGCAGGCTGGGCTGAGGGACACCCCTCTCCGTGCATGAATTTTGTGCACCAGGTCTATAGTATTAAATAATTAAGCAAACAAGCCTTTTGACCTGAAGATTGAAATGTTTGGTTTTTCAAATAATTAACTTTCTAATTGTTGGTTCTCTGAGGTATTGGGGGGAAACTTGCCCTGAAACCTAACCTGTATCAGATAAACTAAATGACTTACTTAAATCACTTTTTATAAACATTTTTTAGTAATTTCTAGGCTATTTGTTTTAATTCTAGTGTGTTTCTAAAAACATCAACATGGCCTTAGCTGGTTTGGTTCCGTGGACAGAGCATCGGTCCGTGGACAGAGGGTCCCGAATTTGGTTCTGGTCAAGGGCACATACCTTACTTGGTTGCAGGCTTCTCCCCTCCAGAGCGTGTGTGAGGCAACCAATAGATGTATTTCTCTCACATCGATATTTCTCTCTTTTTTCCCCCTCTCTTTTACACTCTTTCTAAAAATCAATAGAAAAATAATCTCTGGTGTGTATTTTTTAAAAAATCAATAAAGTTTAACATGATTTTATGTATTGAAAAAAATAGGCCTGCAGGTTTATAATGTTTGGGTAATATTTTTCATTTAGCTCTCTTACAATAGTTCTTAGCAGAGTGCTTTGCATAAAGACTGACCTAATAAATACTGGTTCTTAATTATGGATCTGTTTATTGCCGTTTTAATCTAGTCTTGATTTTTAAGTATAAATTAAACGCTTCTACAATATATTTAGATTTAGAACCACTAGATATATATTTAAATTTAGAACCACTAATGATCCTCCATAAATGCAACTGGAAGATAAATCATCAGAGAAATGTATACTCTTCCCTTGGGTCTTTACATAGCTAGTTTATTATCATCCCATCTCAGTTGTTGCCAGTTCAGAGAGGCTATTTTTCTTACCACTCACATCTGGCAATCCTCAAACTTCTGCTCCCTCTTCCAGGTTAAGCTTGCATATCCTTCTGCCTTTTAAACCTTCTGATTCTCCTACTCTCCCTCACCCTGAAGAATGAATTCTTCAGTTCTCTACACTTGAATCCATTAATTCAAGCAGTTAATCATTTAGTAACTTACTTAAGGAGTAATAGGACCAGCTATGTTGGTCCTCTCTCTACCTTCTTTTTATCTTTGTATCCTTATTATCAAAGTATTTAATTGTTTATTGTCTGGATGATCTACTGGTAGATGATCCTTTGTAGATAATGTTCACCTGGGTGTATTAACTTGTAAAGTTCTAATCTCTATCTCTACAGTAGGTCTGGGATCTGAAAGAAGACTAGAGTTCTCTCTTAAGATCAAGATTGCATAGTTACCCAGCTGATTTTGGGAAACAGGTTTTTATTTTTGCCTAATGCTCTCCTATCCTCAGTTACAATATAGTCAAGTTTACGGGCTTAGGCAATACCTTTGGAACTGCTTTTCTCAGTCCCACCTATTGGGTGAGAGCTTGGTTAAGGCCAGTCTCAATAAGGCCTAAGACTTGACAAAAACTTTTTTCTTACAAGTAAAAAGGCTGTGTGATCCAAGACATCTATCTCATATAAAGTCTACCCATCAATTCTCTGGATAAAGTAATATTTTAAAAGTAACAAAGTTCTTTGGGTGGGGGATGTATAACAAATTTTGAATATATGTATTAGTAAACTATAAAGTAGATTCTTCTCAACTGGTACTCAATTTTGGCTGCACTTTGGAATTACTTGGGGGAGCTTTCAAAAATACTGATGCTGAATCCAACCTCAAAGATTCTAATTTAATTGGACTAGGGTGCGGCTTGTAAAGATCCCTCAGTTAATTTTAAGTGCAGCTAAAACTGAGTACCACTGTTCTAAACTCATACATAATTATTTTAACATCAGGTTAAGAAACCATCTTCTACTTGTAGACTGTTAATGCTAATAGCACCAAAGGATGTAAACACAGTTTTGGGTAGTACTAAATACACAGAATTTTTACATAATGAGTAAACATATGGTCTTTGAATGTCACATGTATTATATATTAGAATTTGAGAGACACAGTAAAGTTATTTGCAGTTTAAATTCTATGAAGGAAATGGAATTTCAGAAGGGCTTCAGATAAAGTATTTGGCCAAGTTGGAATTCCATCCAAATTAACAACTGACAGGAGCTAGTTGAGGGTACATCATACTCATATTTATATCACCAGTTCAGTCCCACCATTAGTGCTTGGTAAATTAAGTGGGAGACTGAGGTCAAGCGTGTAACTAAATTTTATAGACATTTCCCCCCTATCAGAAAATACCTGGCAATCATCAAGTTCATAATGTCAGTTCAAAGGAAATTAATATAACCTCCTCCCTATGTAATTTAGCTTGAGAAATTTTTTTAGACAGTATACACTCTTAATTTACAGATCGTGAGCAAAGTTTTGCTTCAATATCAATTCTAAATTTAAAATATGCACACTTGAAATATTTAATAAAACAAGTAAAATGGGATATTTACTAAAAAGAGTAAAATATTTAATTGTGACAAATTAGGACTAGACTATGAAGTCTTTTGAAGGCAGCAACTAGGTCTTATTCATCTTTGAATTCTTCAATGCCAAACACCTTAAGAGGTATTCAATAAATATAAGTTGAGTTGAAGTTTAATATTTTAGAATTAATCAACTTCAAGGTCAGCAGATATAATATTAGAAAAATACTAATGAAAATAACAAAATTATTTAACATGCTAAATGATTCAAAAGAATAAATTTTAGTTATGGATCTTGTTTGGAGAAAATGACATAAATAATTAAAAACTAATGTTAGATGCTGTGAGAAGGGAATAAGAAAGAATTCTTTGAGACATACAATCTTATTAAAAATATGAAAGCCACCGAATAACAGATTTTAGATCTCCAAGGGATCTTACATAACAGTGCATTAGGAGAAAACTGCCATATACAGAACTGATAAATGACAGAGGATTTCACACTAAGCACCTGTGGTCTGAGATGGACTTGAAGTTGTATCTTGAGAGCAAGAAAAGACTACAGAGAGACAGCAGAGAGCATTCAATTTACTTAAGAACAAAAGTCTAGAATTAGAAAAGTGTAAGATATTTTTAAAATTAGAAAATAATTTAATAGGAATAATGTTTATATATGAGTAAAAGGAAAAATAAAGCTGGAAGGGAGTATTTAATGCAACAAAGGAGTTTGGATTGAAGACACAGATTCCATGAATTAATAAATGTTTTTTAAGACACTAATGAAGTAACAACTGATGGAAGATAACTTGTATTCTATTGTTTAGAGGGAGTTAAGAACAACAAAACCACCCAAATGGACTATTAAAGAATCAATATTTATATTCATTTATACATTTTACCATAAATACTATTTTAAAGTACTAAGGAACATACATTTTAGAAGGGTGAGAATGGAGTGATGAGATTCATTTATATGCTTTAATAGTTTGATTTTACTTTTTAAAAAATAGAGGCCATTTCAATTCTTAATTAAAAATGTTTTTTAAGCTGAGACCGGTTTGGCTCAATGGGGGTGAGCAGGAGGCAGCTGATCGATGACGCTCATCGATGTTTCTAACTCTCTCTCTCCCTTCCTCTCTGTACAAAATCAATAAAATATATTTAAAAAAAATTTTTTTTAAGTAAAATGAAAAAATGTATGGCAGCTGACTAACCAGAGAATGGCCTATTCTTTAAGGTAGAAATATGAACTTGAATTCCATTCCTATTCTTCTCATTACTTATAATGAGTAACTGGCATACATAACTCTTACTCTATTCTTAGCATGAAACTTGGCCCTTTGGCACTATACTGATGTCAATTCAATTTAGAGTAGGAACTCAGTTACTGACTAAATACTGATAAGCAATGTTTTGTTGAAAATTACCAGACAGCATTCCAAACTTCACATGTTACATTTTGGAACCATATTTTCCCCCTTATATATTTTATTTTAAAAAAGTATTATAGAAATGTCAAACATATATAACAGCCTAATAGTATAATGAAATCACATGAACCCACAACCCAGCTTCAAATTATCAACATTCTGCAAATGTTGTTTTAACTGCTCCCATTTTTTCTTCTGAAATATTTTAAAATAATTCTCAGACATGATACAATTTAAACAAATTTCAGAATATATCTTTAAAATAGACAGACTCAACATAAGGAGCCTGCTCCTCCTGAAATATTTCCTTTCTTAGTAAATGGTTCAAGCCAAAACACCGGAGTCATCCTTCGACTCATTTTCTCTCACAGCACAAAGCCAATGCAACAAGCAATACTGGCTAGATTGTGAATTTCCCCTGCTATCACTCTTATGTCACATCACCTTTTACTTTTTGCCTAGCTTAAGTCCACAGCTCCTCAACGGGTCTCCCTAGTACGCCCTGCAACTTCAGTTTTTATTCTTGTTCCTTATGACTGAAATGCTTTTTTGTTAAAAAAACTGGAAACTGTCACTTCCTCGAGGCCTCTGAATTTGATCCTATTAGAAAGGCTTGCCCTAACCACCGTGTCTATACAACAGGGCAACACCATCACTTCTACCATTAACGAGTCCTCACTGGCCTATTTCTCCATCACCACCTGATGTATTTATTTATTGGTTTGTCCTCTTCTGCTAGATTGTGAACTCCAGGAGGGCAGATATTTTCTTGATTTTATTCATTACTGTATCACCAGTGTTCAAAATAGTAGTCACAGTCATGTCATATGCAGTTAAGTATTTAATACTGAAAATTATTTGATAGTTAACAGAGTAGAACAGAATTTAAAAATTCTTTCCTAAAGAATCTGAAACAATCAGTAATTAAAATTCATTTAGAAAATAATACATCTTTTGAAGGCTTTGACAGATTTTTAAAATATAGTCTATTCACCATTTATGTGTCCTATATTTAAGCAGTGTGGATTATGCACCTGAATTATAGCTAACTGTATTTAAAGGAGTGGCATTATTTGGTGTCATATTTGCATTCAGCATCTTCATAGGGAATCAGCACTGAAACAATACCAAAGTCTTTGCCTCTTTTGCAGTTAACATTAAGTCTTATAAATCAAAATTCATTTCAGACCTTCACTCACTACATTCTTCTTGCAACAAGTCTTTGAACTATGGGTACTTGGCTAATTTAAATTAAAAAGCTTACTCTAACTATAAGATTCAATGCCTTTTCAATATACCTCATATTTTAGTGGAGGAAGGGGAGAAGAGGGTTAAGGTGGCTTGCTTATAACTCACCATGCAGAGTCTGTAACTCGGAAATCAAGACTTAGAAGGAATTTCCCATCTCTTACGGGTTACTTGCCCTAAGAGTTATTGAAATGCTCGGCGTGTCCTAGGTGATGCTTAATCCCTTTCTAGGCTGTAACATTCTATATATCCTGAACTTTGCCATGCTTATTCAAGAGGAGAGGAGCAGCTTGCAATAAATAGTAGGTCAGACAGCACTTGCTATTTACTAGCTGTGCAAGTTAAGCCAGTTACTCACCTCTTTGAGGCTGCTTCCTCATATAGAAAGGGGGTTAATAACATCTACCTGGCAAAGTTACAGAAAGGACTGAAGATAATCTGTCAAGTGAAATGTCTGACATCGTGTCTCACCCCTGCCCCCCCCCCACACACACAATATAAGGCAGCTATTGCCCCTAGTTCTACCATCCTTTTGCCAAGAACAGTGCAATAATGTAAGATCGACGGTGCCAGTAAAATTGGGGTAAAGTGGCAAAGCAAGACAACTGCTCTACATCTCAGTTTATCAATTTGATACGCACATTAGAAAACCACTTTTGTTTTCCCCTTTTACAAAAGAGCACGCTGTTGCTACTGTGGCTGTCATTCACTTAAACACCAGACTGTTTCTAACCCGTGTTGTGGTAGAATGTACATCTGTTCGCAGATTTCTAACCGAGCTGCCATCGTGTGGGTGACGACAGCAGAAAATCATCCAAGGTCCCTCGGACTGACACTTCCTTGACTGCGGAGTAACCGGGGGATGGCTACCTTTCCCCCAGAGAGTGAATGTGGAACATACACCCCCCGTGACCACAGGCACAACACGAGTCCCCCCCCCCCAGGCTCCCGGCCCTGCAGCCGGTGCTTCCCGTTTTGCAAATGTGCGGGAAGCCCCACGCCCCAGCCTCCCCGTGGCCTCAGCAAAGGCGACGTCCGCGTCTCCGGCGGCGGCCGAGCCCGGGCCGGCCAGGGGGGGGCGGGGGGAGGGAGAGGCGCCGGAGGGAACGGCGCTGGCAGCGCTCCGGGCTGAGGGGCAGGAAAGGGACACTTCCTTCCAAGCCTCGGCGGGGAGGGTGCGAGGAAGGAGAAGAAAGGGCGGGGGTGGGGTCAGGAGAGTCCGTCTCCGGGCTCCGCAGCGCGGCTCGCCGGGCCTCCGCCCGCCCGGGAGGGAGGTCACACGAGCACCCGCGTCCGGGGCGGGGAGGGGGGGGGGGGTGTCAGCCAGGCGGGCGGTGCCGGCGGAGTCCCGGCCCCAGGCCGAACTCAAGGTGTCCTCCGGGGGGGACCCGTCTCCACACCCCGCCGCCTCCCTTCGTCCCCCAGGGGGCGGCGGCTGGGCTGGGGGGGGGGGGTTGCAGTCGGCGGCGGCCAGGCCCGCAGGGGCGCCAGGCCGCGCCCATCTCCCGGGGCTCGGGCCGCCGCAGGCCAGCGGTGAGGCCGGGAGCGAGGGCACCGACCCTCGGGGCTGGGACGCTCCCGCATCTCCCCCCGCACCCCCCCTCCCCCCGGCCTGGTCCTCGGGGATACGCCCCCCCTGTCCCCCACCGCCTACCTGCACCGCACGGCTGAGGAAAGTGCCCGCGTCGGCCGCGAACTTCTTGACGTTGAAGTCCATAATGTTCATGCTGCGCGGCAGCCGGGCGGAGCTGCCGGCGGCGGACCTAGCGTGTAGGCGGGGGCGCCGCGGCCGGGCTGGGGCGCCGCGCGGGAGGGGCGGGGGCAGACGTGGGGAGTGGAGCGGGGCGGCGCCAGCCCCGCGGCCGCAGCTGTCGTTTCCGTCCAGGGGGTGGGGGGGGGGGGTGGAGAGGGTGCGGCGAGGAGGGAGGACGAGCGCCTCCCAGCGGCCCCCCGGGTCCGGGCGCCGCAGCCGGGTCGCAGGGCCCGTCCCTTCCGGAGCGCGGCCGCCAACGTCGGCGCTGGCCGCGGCGGGCGAGCCGGAAGCGGAGCGGCGTACCGGCCTGTGGGTCCGGCTCCCGGCGGAGGAAGTGGGCGGGGCCGCAGGGCGGGGCCTGTGTGGAGGTTCTCGCGGGAACAGCGACCCCTTCAGGACCGTCGCGGCGCTGCCGCGGGGCGCGCCGGGAACTCGGCTCGCTCCGCCCCGAGGGAAGGTCGGTGGCGCTGGGAGGGGCGCGCCGGGGGGTCACAGCAAGGCTGCAGCGTTGTGGTTAGTCCCTGAGAACCAAAAGCAGACAACTCCGACCCCTCCTCTTATTTGGAGGAAAAAAAAATATATGGATGTAGGAACATAGAATTGCATGCAGTAGCTGTGTGATTAGAATCAACAGCTCCCTGTCATCTTGTACCCGCGCCCGCTGGTCTCTGAAGTGGCAGAATGGTGTTGATTTAGTGTCCCGCCCAGCCGGTTTTCTTTCATTCATTCATTCATTCATTCATTCATTCAGCATTATTGAATATCTACTGTGTACCAGAGCTGAATCGGGTGCTGGAGATACTATGCTTTAAAAAGACTGTCCTTGCCGTCAAGATGCTCTCAGTTCTTTTTAAAAAAATATATTTTATTGATTTTTTACAGATTTAAATATATTTCATTGATTATTTACAGAGAAAAAGGAAGAGAGCTAGAAACGTAGATGAGAGAGAAACATCGACCAGCTGCCTCTTGCACACTCCCCACCGGGGATTTGCCCGCAACCAATGTACATGCCCTTGATCAGAATCGAACCTGGGACCTTTCAGTCCGCAGACCGACACTCTATCCCTGAGCCAAACCGGTTTTGGAAGATGCTCTCAGTTCTTTAATTTGACCACCTTGAGGACTTCCCCCCAAGCAGAAGCTCTAACTATCGGCTGCCTCCAAGAACTTTGTGACTGCCTCACAGGGTCCACCCTAGGTGCCCACTGTGTGCGAAGTATGATGCCCAGGACACAGAGTGCCAAGCGGAGGTCACAAAGAAGTAGACAATGGTGAGTGAGACAAAACAATCCTTAAAAGATTCAACGTGGCGAATCTTAATAACAAATGAGAATATGATGTGAAATTTGTTAAAACACACACACACACACACCATGATTCTGAGTAATTTCTTACGCAGTCTTCATGATATAGCCTATGTTTGAACTAAGTTAAGACAGGTGCAAGCGAGGAGAGAGAGACCTTAGTATTTCAAGAAAACTGTGTTTTTTGTGTGGGCTGTGCCCTTTTGTTACATTAGGGCTGGAAAAATGCAGCCCTGCAGGCAATGAAATGAGCCCACACAACTCATTCAGTGTTTTACTATACCAACAGTAAACAGAAGCAGTGGCTGTTGTTTAAGTCTGAAAGGTTAGCTCTAAAGGCATTTTAAGGAACAGTAGATAACAAAGATTTCTTTGTGTTCGGTTATTCTTGGTGGTGGTGACGACACAACCACTTTTTTTCTAAGATAACTCCAGTAGAATGAATCTCCTAGATGCAAAATACTACACATATCTTTAATTATTTAAGAAATATGGAAAAGGAAATATGTAATTAGGAATCTTGTTTTTTTTTCATTAATTGTACATATTTAGATTTTTAAGCACTATCTTTATAGATGCCTACCTTCACAATAGGTGTATTTGCTGTAATCTATGTTTGTTTCTACAGATATCTCACAACACCACATCCACTGTTAGAGAAGAAAACTCTGGATCCTCTGCCTCAAAGGTACAGATCTACCTAACTTGAAAAAAAAAACAACAACTTACTTCTTCCTGTTGAGCCTTCTATAGCTATAATATTTGCTTCAGCATATGATCACATAATACAGCATGACTAAGTGTATTTGTAGATTATATTATCTACCTAGTTTTAACTAAATAAATATTCACAAAAATGGACAAGTTGCCTAAAGAGTTATCACTAAAGAAACATACAGCGGCTTAACCTCGAGATCATGGTTTGATTCCTGGTCAGGACACACGCCCAGGTTGCAGGTTTATTCAGATGGTGCGGGAGGCAGCCGTCAATGATTCTCTTTCATTATTGATGTTTCTGTCTCTCTCCCTCTCCTTTCCTCTCTGATATATATATAATTCTTTTACATATATATGTAAAAATAGGTAATAACAGAAGCACAAGCAAACCTGAAATGGAAATGTCAGAGCTGATACTTCTAAATGTTGAATTTATCAGAAAGACATTGAAATATGGATTTAAAAGTGATTAAAACTTGGTTCTGGCTTTTAAGGCACTCAGAATCTAATGTGGGAAATAGACTTGTAAAGTGAAACATAATATGAGAACTATAACTAGAAAAGCTTGTATAAGATTGGGCCTGAGTGATTTGTGGAGGAATTGGGTATTAACCAGTAGGATAACTAAGACTTTTTTGAACTGGCTTCTGACTGAATTAATCTCAGTGGGGACAGATGAGTAGACTTTAATTTAGAAAGATCACATTTTGGGCAGTGTGGATAATGCACTGTAGAGGAGGCAAAGACAGGTAGAAAGACCGATTAGGAGTCTGTTGCTGTTATTCACCATGTACTCTGCTATCTTGTTATCTTAAAATTAGAAGTATTTTTTTTTTTATTACCAAAATTCCCTCTCATGGACATCTGTTTCTCTTTTACTCAGTGTGTTCTTATCCTCATCAAGGCCTGCAATCCCATACCTCATTTTTAACTCTCCCTCCACTTCCCCTCTTTTTTTTAAACTCTCACCAGCACTCTTAGCTGCCTCTGTCCTTCTGACCCATCAATCTATATTCCCAGATGAATGTTTTCTCTGTTTCTGCTCTCAAACTCCCAGTATTGTCAGGAAAAATTACACAACCTTATAGATGGATGCTACTTACCTATTAAATGAATGATCGCCTACTTACACTAAACCTTTAAAACTACCTCGAAAAGCTTTTACTTCTTTCTAATCAAATCCTTTTTATATTCTCTGCAGTGCTTTCTGAAAAACTTTGACCCTTTTCTTAATATGCATAGATTATTCTCATATACTATTATTCTTAGCCATTGATACTTTTTCTTTACAAAGGAATGATAAATCATCAAGCAATTATTAGCCAGGAGTTCCTTTAAACTCTTATTTCTACCTCTTGTCCTTCTCCAATCTGTTCTCCACATTATTGCCAAATATTTCAAAGGAAGAGGTGTCCCAGGTGTTTTCTCCTGAGTCTAATAAGATACTGACTGCTCTTTTAATCTTGGCTGCATGTAGGCATCACCTGGAGAGTTTAAGCAACCACTTATGCCTGGATTCCTCTTTCAGAGTGTGGACTGGGTATTGGGATATTTAGAAGTTCCCCCAGGTGATGCTAATGTGGGGCCAAGATTGGTAATGAACCCCTCATCCTCTGAGTACTGGTTCCACCAGTCTCTACCCTTTGCCTACAGATAGATTCCATTTCTCTTACTGGACTGAGTTCCTCAAGGGCAGTGACTATTTCTTACTCATTTTTATAATTTAATGATCTTTTGGCAACTTTAGAGAATTCTCAATTAATTTTTTTCAATGAATAAAATAATCAAATCAAGATGTATACTGTTCATTTGTAACCCCTCCTCCCCAACCCAAGTTTCCAACTATAGATTCAATAGTTCCAGTAGTGAGCCTCTTGTAGTCTGTTTTTACTGAAAGTTACTTTTTTCTGGTTCTCCATAATGGCAAATTGAATTATATACACCAAGTCTCTTAAGCTAGAAATCTGAGTCCCCTTTGATGATTTCCTCTTATTTCCCATGTCTGATTGATCAAGTCTTTGAAATTTTTTTTCCTCTGAACTCTTTTTCATCTTCTCCTCTTCTTTACTTTTAAATTGAGGTATAATTGACATGTAACATTATATTAGTTTCAAATGTACAATATTTGTATACATCCGTCAAATGAGTTCCACAATAAATCTAGTTAACATCATTTAACTTACATAGTTACAGAAATAATTTCTCTTGTGATGAGAACTTTTAAAAAATATCTATTTTATTGATTTTTTACAGAGAGGAAAGGAGAGAGATAGAGAGCTAGAAACGTCGATGAGAGAGAAACATTGACCAGCTGCCTCTTGCACACCCCCTACCGGGGATGTGCCCGCAAACCAACGTACGTGCCCCTGACCAGAATCGAACCTGGACCTTTCAGTCCGCAGACCTACGCTCTTCCAATGAGCCAAACCGGCTTCAGCTTGTGATGAAAAAGAACTTTTAAGATTTAATTTCTTTGCAACGTTTAAATATGCAACATAGTATTATTTACTATGGTCACATGATATATATTATATTCCTATGATTTCTTAAAAAATACATGGACATTTGTACTTTTTGACCCCTTCACCCATTTCTTCTGTCCTACCTCCCACTCCCATCTCTGGCAACCACCAATCAGCTCTCTATATCTATAATCTTTGCCTTTTTGTTTTTATTTACTTGTTATTTAAAAATACATATGTGTTAATTTCAGAGAGGAAGGAAGAGAGAGAGATAGAAACATCAATGATGAGAGAGAATCATTGATCAGCTGCCTCCTGCTCTTCCCACTCTGGGGATCCAGCACAGAACCTGTGCCCTTGACTGGAATTGCACCTGGGGCCCTTCAGTCCTCAGACTGATGTGCCATCCACTGAGCCAAACCAGCTAGGACTTGTTTTGTTTTCAAATTCTACATATAAATGATATCATACAGTGTTTGTCCCTCTC